TGAAACAGAAATTGACACTCTAGCTGTACTGTCTGGTATTACTGTATGTTTATATCACAACCCCAGTTACACAGATGTATTTTACCAGGTAAACCACTCTCATGTCTGTACAATAGCACAAAATGTAGTTATTTGTCTAAAGGTAAGCTCTAACCCCCACGGCAGTAACAGTCATAGGTACCCACCAGTCCAGTTTTGTTCCCTTTGGGGTGAAATGCAATACGGTCCTGCCAATAAGAATTGCCTGTCTTCTGGTATTAAGTTCTCTTATTGGTAAGCTTGGCAGTTATGTAGAGAGCTTTCTGAGAAAAAAATACATTTCCACTAATTAAATTTGTCTGTTTTGTATGTAGCACACCCCTGGAGGAGCTGCAGATGATAAACCAATTCCTTACCCAAAGTTAGTGTAAGTACAGCCAGGCACACAGCATTTCTTCTTTCTCTCTGGCTCAGTATCAGTTTAGGGAGTATCTTTTACACTTTCATTACAGATTACCTTGGGTGTGGTGAGGCAAACATAGGATACCCCAAAAAGTAATTTTGAACTAGTAGAGGACACTTCTCTTCCCACTATTCTATTATTGTGACTCAAAGCAGGACAAGAAAGTGAAATGATGTGTTATGGTTGTGGTCTTATTGTGTGTCATGCTATTTGGACTTTTTTTCTTCAAAAAACCTATGGATCCTAGCAACTGCAGTGCGCAGCCATCCACCTGTTAATTGTCCAAGGGATTGAGAATGAAAGTATTAAAAAAAAAACCCCTGTGTTCTTTGGGTTCCAGCAAAAGTTCTGTCAATTGGCATAATATAGAGGGTCTTTAGCTATCAAGAAATAAGTCTCTTGGCAGATGTTCCTTGACTGGTAGCAAAGGAAATCATCAAATGGCTGATACAGCCATTCTTTTCTGGTTCTGGAGGAGGATGCTGAATAAAATTATTTGTCTATGTGGCACCACCCCCTTAGGGGTTGCTGTTGAATTGGGTCCCCCTATAGTCCTGCACAGCCAGGCAATCTGCATTCTCCACACAAGCTTATATCAAGAGTCAGAAAATCAGTCCTTGAGCTATAATTTTGTTATTTATTGAGCAGATTTGAACTGGGATAGGGTAAGGGGGCTATAGGAAGCCCAACTGAAAACTGATCACTGAGGACAAACTTCCTGGAACTATTCACAAGCTTCTCTTCTGCAGCAGTGTCTCTGTTGGTGAGCTAGCCAGCATCTCCATGATGTACCACTCCAGGCCACAGATGAAATTCTCTTCACCCAGCAATCTGGTGGTTTTCCTGAGCAGGGGATCTGGCTCCTGTCCCTTTAGAGGGGTGAACAGTCATTAGTTGTGGCCTAATCTGGTTTCTCAGCAGAGTGCTCCTTCCCCTATCCACCCAGGGAGTGCAGGTGTACTCACTCAGATTCCCCCGGGTTGGCTGTTGCGACCACACCTATCAGCTGGGCTGCTCCTTACATAGTTACATAGGTAGTCTGGCTGAAAAAAGACAAAAGTCCATCTAGTTTAACCATTAAAAAAAATTTAAAAGTTATAATCCTATACCAACAGTTGATCCAGAGGAAGGCAAAAAACTCCCCAGCAAAGCATGATCCAATTTGCTCCTGCAGGGGAAAAAATGTCTTCTTGATCCCCCAAGAGGCAATCGGATATTCCCTGGATCAACTTTACCTATAAATGTTAGTATCCAGTTATATTATGCGTATCTAGGAAAGAATCCAGGCCTTTTTTAAAGCAATATACTGAGCTGGCCAGAACCAACTTTTGAGGGAGCCTATTCCACATTTTCACAGCTCTTACTGTGAAGAAATATTTCCATATTTGGAGATTAAATCTCTTTTCCTCCATAAGTAAAGAGTGCTCCATCCTCCTCTGTGATGACCTCAGGGTGAATAACTCTACACCGAGTTCACTATAATTCACTGATGTATTTATACATGTTGATCATATCCCCCTTAACCTCCTCTTCTCAAGAGAGAATACATTCAATTACTTTAACCTTTCCTCATGGCTGAGCTCCTCCATGCCTCTTATCAGTTTGGTTGCCCTTCTCTGCACTTTATCCAGTTCCTCAATGTTCTTTTTGTGAATTAGTGCCCAAAACTGAACTGCATGTTCCAGATGAGGTCCTACTAATGATTTGTACAGGGGTAATATGATATCTCTCTCTCTGGAGTCTATACCTCTTTTAATACAAGAGAGGATTTTGCTCGCTTTAGAAACCGCAGCTTGGCATTGCATGCTATTATTAAACTTGTGATCTACCAGAACTCCCAGATCCTTCTCCACCATTGATTCCCTCAGTTGTACCCCCCTTAGTATGTATGATGCATGCATATTCTTAGCCCCCAAGTGTATAACTTTACATGTATTAACGTTAAACCTCATTTGCCACATAGTTGCCCAATTAAACAGTGCATTGAGGTTGGCTTGTAAGTTGAAGACATCCTGTAAAGACGTTATTCCACTGCACAGCTTGGTGTCATCTGCAAAGACTGAAATTGTATTTTTAATCCCAGACCGTATATCATTTATAAATGTATTAAAAAGTAAGGGTACCACTGATGACCTTAGACCATTCAGAGTATGAATCATTAACCACTACTCTCTGAATACGATCTTTTAGCCAGTTTTCTATCCATTTACATACTGATTTTTCCAAGCCTGTAGACGTTACCTTATACATTAGCCATGTGTGCGGAACTGTGACAAACGTTTTTGCAGAATTCAAGTATACCACGTCCACTGCCACCCCTCTTTCCAAGGTTGTGCTCACCTCCTCATAAAAAGAAATTATATTTGTTTGACAACTTCTGTCTTTCATGAATCCATGCTGTCTGTGGCTTAAAATATTTTTTTCAAGCAAGAACTCATCCATGTGGTCTTTTATTAAACTCTCCAGTATCGTGCCAACTATAGAAGGTAAACTAATAGGTCTATAATTACTTGGTAAATATTTTGATCCCTTTTTAAATATTGGCACCACATTAGCCTTACACCAATCCAGTGGTACTATGCCAGTCATTAAAGAGTCCCTAAAAATTAGGAAAAATGACTTTGAAATGACAGAGCTCAATTCTTTAAGGACCCGTGGGTGTATGCCACCCGGTCCAGGTGCTTTATTCACCCTTATTCTGTCTAAATATTTCTGGATCATATCAATTGTGAATGAATGTGGATCAGCTGGAGCTGTGTCAGTACCATACCCATTATGGACAAGAGCTCCCTCATGCTCCTTTGTCTACACAGAGATGAAGAAGGTATTTAATAAATTTGCCTTCTCTTTGTCCGCAATTACCCACTCTAGCTTATTTTGTAAAGGGCCTTCATGCTCGGACCTGACCTTTTTACTATTAACATATTTGAAGAATTTTTGGGGGGGTTCCTGCTATCTTTTGCAATCTGTCATTTGTTTTTCAATTTTTGTGGCCATGATTTCCTTTTACATATTGTGTTATATTCTTTGTAATGTTTAAACAATGATAGTGTTCCTTCATTTTTACATTTTATAAACTCTTTTCTTATTATTTATAGCTTTTTAACTTTAGCTGTACAGCACATAGGTTTGATTTTTAGCCTTTTAAACTTGTTGCCCATGGGAATATATTTTGCAGTATGTTCACATACAGTCTTTTTGAAGAACACCCATTTCTGTCCTGTGTTCATTGATGCCAATATTCCTTAAGTCTTGGAGAGCAGCTCTCAGCCTTAGAAAATTAGCTCTCTTAAAGTTAAGCATTTTTATTTTTTCCTGTATGTGCTTATTGTTGATATCTAACAATAAATGAAAACATGTTATGGTCACTGCTTCCCAGATATTCTTTTATATGGACATTAGTAATAAGCTCTGCATGGTTTGAGATTACTAGGTCCATTAGAGCATCATTCCTAGTTGGGGCCTCTATCTACTGTACCATGTCCTGTAGTAGGTTTATACATTTTTACCCTTTAACTGCTCCTGCAGTGCTATTACTCCAGTCAATTTACGGGTAGTTAAATTCCCCCATCATTATCACTGTCTCAGCCTTGTAACCCTTTCAATCAGTGCAAGTAGCCGAGTCTCAACTCCTCATTAATACTGGGTGGCCTATAACAAACTCCAACAATTACCTTTGTAGTACGCACCCCCATGTGCAGTTCCACTCATAATGCTTCAGTTTCATCACACTTTCCATCAACTTGGTCCTGTTTCATACTCGCTTTGAGATCACATCTCACATAGAGACAGACACCACCACCTTTCCTTTTTACCCTGTCACTCTGAAAGACAGGAATATTAATGGCCCAGTCATGTGAAGAATGAACCCAAGATTCAGCAATACTAATTAAATCATACTTCTATTGATGCACCAAAGCTTCCAACTCACCTATTTTGCTTGGCAGACTTCTTTCCTGCCATACAGGTGGTCCTCCCTCAGGGGGCCAGTGAGCTCTATGTTTTCCTCCTTTCCAGTTCCAAGCTCGCAGGCAGTCCCCATCCCAATATGCCACCTGGCAGCCTCCTTCCTCAGCCTCACATCTTGCTCTTCACTCTCCTCTCCTTTTTCCCACCAACTCCTGCTACTGAGCAGGCTCCAACACTTTTTAAGGGAGTCTAGCCCCCTTGCCAAGCCTTCTGTTGGGAATTGGCTGAGGTCCCTTAAGAGTGCAGCCAACCACTCCTCAGATCTTTGCACTGCCTCCAAGGCCCTCCCCTGAAAGCCTTAGAGCAGGGGGATTTTCCAGAGGGCCTGACCTTCAGAGCCTCTCAGCCCTGACTACAATTTGACTCCTGTGGTTATTACAGCTGAGCTGCTAACAGCTCCTGTCTAACCATTAGGATCTAGTTCCCCCAGCTAAAATAGGAGGGTGCTACATTAACCACCTCCCACCCGCCATATAGTACAATGACGGGCGCAAGGCAGTTTTCTCGTTGTGGGAAGACGTCATATGACGTCCTCCCATTCTAAACACGCATGCACGGCTCCGGGAGCACGCAGTGCGGCGATCCATGGTGCACTGTGTCCCTCGGACACAGCGGATCACCGATCGATGAAAAGAGCCAAAGATGTTGGCTCGGTCATGCGATCAGCTGTGTCCAATCACAGCTTATCGCATGTAAATAGGGAAATGCCGGTTATCTGCATTTCTCTCCTCATGGTGACAGCTCGAGAGGAGAGGAGAGCCAGTAATCGGCATTCCTCAGAGGGGACATGTACACTGATCATCAGGGCACTGATGATCAGTGTGCCCTGATGATCTGTGTAGCCCCAGCGGTGCCACCTGTCAGTGTCCATCAGTGCCAGCTGTCAGTGCTCATCCATACCACCTGCCAGTGCCCATCAGTGCCACACAATTGCCACATATCAGTGCCTACCAGTGCACATCAATGCCACATATCAGTGCCCGTCTGAGCTGCCTTTCAGTGTCACCCATCAGTGCCAGTCAGTGCCACCTATCAGTGCTGCCAATCAGTGCCACCTATCAGTGCCAGTCAGTGCCACCTATCAGTGTTTAATCAGTGCTGCCTATCAGTGCCCGTCAGTGCTGCCTATCAGTGCCAGTCAGTGCCACCTAACAGTACCAGTCAGTGCTGCCTATCAGTGCCAGTCAGTGCTGCCTATAAGTGCCATATATGAGTGCTGCCTTTCAGTGCCCATCAGTGATGCCTGTCAATGTCCATCAGTGCCACCTACCAGTGCCTCCTCATCAGTGCCATCTATCAGTGTCCATCAGTGCCGCTTATCAGTGCCCATCACTGCAGCCTCATTAGCGCACATCAGTGAAGGAGAAAAATTACTCATTTACAAAATTTTATAACAAAAACTAAGAAAAAACTTTTTTTTTCAAAATTTTCACTGGTTTTTGGTTTGTTTAAGAGAAAAAAAAAACCAGAAGTGATTAAATACCACCAAAATAAAGCTCTATCTCACAAAAAAATGATAAAAATTTCATATGGGTACAGTGTTGCATGACCGTGCAATTGTCATTCAAAGTGTGACAGCGCTGAAAGCTGGAAATTGGCCTGTGCAGGAAGGGGGTATACAGGTGAAACTCGAAAAATTAGAATATTGTGCAAAAGTTCATTTATTTCAGTAATGCAACTTAAAAGGTGAAACTAATATATGAGATAGACTCATTACATATAAAGCAAGATAGTTCAAGCCGAGATTTGTCATAATTGTGATGATTATGGCTTACAGCTCATGAAAACCCCAAATCCACAATCTCAGAAAATTAGAATATTACATGCAATCAATAAAACAAGGATTGTACATAGAATAATATCGGACCTCTGAAAAGTATAAGCATGCATATGTGCTCAGTACTTGGTTTGGGCCCCTTTTGCAGCAATTACTGCCTCAATGCGGCGTGGCATGGAAGCTATCAGCCTGTGGCACTGCTGAGGTGTTATGGAAGACCAGGATGCTTCAATAGTGGCCTCCAGCTCTTCTGCATTGTTCGGTTTCATGTCTCTCATCTTTCTCTTGGCAATGCCCCATAGATTCTCTATGGGGTTCAGGTCAGGCGAGTTTGCTGGCCAATCAAGCACAGTAATACCACGGTCATTGAACCAGGTTTTGGTGCTTTTGGCAGTGTGGGCAGGTGCCAAGTCCTGCTGGAAAATGAAGTCAGCATCCCCATAAAGCTTGTCTTTGGAAGGAAGCATGAAGTGCTCCAAAATCTCCTGGTAGATGGCTGCGTTGACCCTGGACTTAATGAAGCACAGTGGACCAACACCAGCAGATGACATGGCTCCCCAAATCAACACAGACTGTGGAAACTTCACACTGGACTTCAAGCATCTTGCAGTGTGTGCCTCTCCATTCTTCCTCCATACTCTGGGTCCTTGTTTTCCAAATGAGATGCAAAAGTTGCTCTCATCAGAAAAAAAGGACTTTGGACCACTGAGCAACAGACCAGGTCTGTTTTTCTTTAGCCCAGATAAGACGCTTCTGACGTTGTTTGTTGTTCAGGAGTGGCTTGACAAGAGGAATAACACATTTGAAGCCCATGTCCAGGATCCGTCCGTGTGTGGTGGCTCTTGATGCACTGACTCCAGCCTCAGTCCACTCCTTGTGAAAGTCCCCAACACTTTTGAATGGCTTTTTCCTGACAATCCTCTCCAGGCTGCGGTCATCCCTGTTGCTTGTGCACCTTTTTCTTCCACACTTTTCCCTTCCACATAACTTTCTATTAATGTGCTTTGATACAGCACTTTGGGAACATCCAACTTCTTTTGCAATTACCTTTTGAGGCTTTCCCTTCTTATGGAGGGTGTCAATGATGGTTTTCTGCACAACTGTCAGGTCAGCAGTCTTTCCCATGATTGTGATTCCTACTGAACCAGACTGAGAGACCATTTAAAGGCTCAGGAACCCTTTGCAGGTGTTATGGCTTAATTAGCTGATTAGAGTTGGACACTTTGAGTCTAGAATATTGCACCTTTTCACAATATTCTAATTTTCTGAGATTGTGGATTTGGGGTTTTCATGAGCTGTAAGCCATAATCATCACAATTATGACAAATCTCGGCTTGAACTATCTTGCTTTGAATGTAATGAGTCTATCACATATATTAATTTCACCTTTTAAGTTGCATTACTGAAATAAATGAACTTTTGCATGATATTCTAATTTTTCGAGTTTCACCTGTAAGTGCTCTGTAGGCAAGTGGTTAATACTTAAGCCAAGCTTAAGGAAGATGGCCAGTAGTTATTAGTAATGTGCATCAGTGGGACTATTGGATGAGAAGTTATCTGTAGAAAAATTAACAGCTGATAAGTATATCAGTTTTCTCTAGCTCTAAATGAATTATTTCCATATTTAAAATGTTTGGAATATCTGTTATCTGATATTAAAGATACTGAAAGAGTATTGTGAATTTTATATGAAACACATCATTTTGTTCTTCTTTTCATTAATGGTTGTGCTTGGTCTTGATGCTTTTTGTAATATTTTGGGAAGCGATTACTTTAGGCAAAACATAGGGGCTTTATAGGGAACCTGAGCTGCCGAATTTCAATTGTTGCTGACCTGTTGTGGAACCTTCAAAGACACAGATTTCAAATTCCCAGCTCCTCTCACTTTACTGTTCTGCATTCCTAGAGGACTAGAGGAGCTGCTGGTAATGCACTCTCTGCTGCCACCCCAGCTCCTCTCTGCCCTTCTCCAGCTGCCAACCTTGCTTTCCACTGTCTCCCAGCTCTCTTTACAGTCATCTTAAAGCAGATATAAACCCTATAAATGCTTGTATTGTAAACAACACTTTTTTCCTTAGTGATTTGGTTTAAATGTACTTCACAGTGGTTCTAAAGGCTGGATTGTTTTTTTTAACATCATGCATGCAGTTCCCTCCAAAGTCCCCCATTTACTTACTTGAGCCCAATCTCAATCCAGTGCTGTGCACAAGAGCAGTGTCCTTCTCCTATTTCCTCCTCCCCACAGGATAGATTGATAGCAGGAGGAGCCATAGACTTCTGTTGCTGTCATTCAATTCCTGTGACAACGGGGTGGGGCGGAGACAGGTCCACTGTCTTTGTCTATGGATACAGACAACGAGGCTTGGAAGGAAGCCCGCACGAGTGCCCTCATATGAAGTGCCTAATTATGGGGCATTGGCTGAAGAGGAGGAGCCAGAAGTGCCAGCGGGGACCCAAGAAGTGGAGAATTGGGGCAGCTCTGTGCAAAACCATTGCATAGAGCAGGTAAGTATGACACATTTGGTATTCTCCTTTAGATCCCCCAACAACTATATAGTTCAAGGTAGAAAATATGGTAGTGTGACAAGAGCAACACCACCCAGAGGGAAAGTGGTTACTTAGAAATCCACGCGGAGTAATATAAGTTTAGTAGTTACAAAGAGTACTTTATTTGATCACATAGATCATAGGGAGGTTAAGCATAAGCACGGTGAACATATCAAACAAATAAAATCATTTAAAAGCACTTGGCGTCCTCATTTCTGGGTGATTTTGGCACATAGGGAGCCATATAGGGCAATGGGGTATTCTCTAGTTATGTGATCCTAGATTTCCATATAATTCAGTCTTGTATTTAGATTAGCCATGTATTTTTCAGCTGTATTCTTGGTATATGGAGGTACTGCATATTTGCTGATAAAAGGAACCCAGGAACTGGAAGCAATTATGGGTCAGCATAAATTCCAAAAGATCCAGAATAAATTCATTTTGAGCTTCCATTTCAGGAAAATATATCTCAAGGAAGAAAGCCACAGCTCTCAGACCCCAGATATGTGGAATAGAAGTATACAGTGATTCCACATCTATGCCAACCAGAAGTGCCCCCTCAGGTACTTCTATGATAAGTGAGTCGGAGATAGTATTAGGACACAAACTATTTGTGTCACTTCAGGTGGCTTTTTTCTGTTTTATTTTTGTGATATGTAGTTCAAGGGCCTGCCTGTGTGCATATAAGTTGACTTGATCGTTTAGGTAGGTCTCCATATGATATAGTTTTGGTAAGACTGAATTAGTTTGAACAAATATTGCAGTCAGACTGTCACATGCACGGTGCAAGCTATATACAGTCAGGTCCATAAATATTGGGACATCGACACAATTCTAACATTTTTGGCTCTATACACCACCAGAATGGATTTGAAATGAAACAAACAAGATGTCCTTTAACTGCAGACTGACAACTTTAATTTGAGGGTATTTACATCCAAATCAGGTGAAAAGTGTAGGAATGACAACAGTTTGCATATGTGCCTCCCACTTGTTAAGGGACCAAAAGTAATGGGACAATTGGCTTCTCAGCTGTTTCATGGCCAGGTGTGTTATTCCCTCATTATCCCAATTACAATGAGCAGATAAAAGGTCCAGAGTTCATTTCAAGTGTGCTATTTGCATTTAGAATCTGTTGCTGTCAACTCTCAAGATGAGATCCAAAGAGCTGTCACTATCAGTGAAGCAAGCCATCATTAGGCTGAAAAAACAAACAAACCCATCAGAGAGATAGCAAAAACATTAGGCATGGCCAAAACAACTGTTTGGAACATTCTTAAAAAGAAGGAACGCACTGATGAGCTCAGCAACACCAAAAGACCCGGAAGACCACGGAAAACAACTGTGGTGGATGACGGAAGAATTCTTTCCCTGGTGAAGAAAACACCCTTCACAACAGTTGGCCAGATCAAGAACACTCTCCAGGAGGTAGGTGTATGTGTGTCAAAGTCAACAATCAAGAGAAGACTTCATCAGAGTGAATACAGAGGGTTCACCACAAGATGTAAACCATTGGTGAGCCTCAAAAACAGGAAGGCCAGATTAGAGTTTGCCAAACAACATCTAAAAAAGCCTTCACAGTTCTGGAACAACATCCTATGGACAGATGAGACCAAGATCAACTTGTACCAGAGTGATGGGAAGAGAAGAGTATGGAGAAGGAAAGGAACTGCTCATGATCCTAAGCATACCACCTCATCAGTGAAGCATGGTGGTGGTAGTGTCATGGCGTGGGCATGTATGGCTGCCATTGGAACTGGT